ACATCTACACGCCACTTCTTCAACATAGGATTATAGCCATGTCATGCCACGGCCTTCGGCTATAGAATGCATATTCTGTATATATGTATATGAAGAGTGTCTTCTGGTAACATTAACACATGACCATTGAAGGTCAATTGGCACCCTGTCCTGACGCTCAGAACAACACCAGAACTCCAGAAGTAGCAACCCTCCCAGAAACAAAGACAAGCTCATTCTTACGTCAAAAAAAAGGAATAGAAAAACATGTAGAGGCAGATGACACAAGCATATCGTACGACGTACTTCGCTACCAAATGGTACAGCATGAGAATCTAGAACACAAGCCTAAGGTTCATTGTTTCAACCAAATAACAAGTCCCAATTTCTTAGGGGCCAAAAACACTCGAAATCTGACCAACTTGAACGCCCCTGAACCATAATACCCCTCAAAACTAGGGTAACAAGCATCCCCACTACATCGAGAAACAGCGTGTCTAATCACATCCTATCCTCTCTTCTGCGCGGGGCACAGGTTATGATCTCATCGACCCTGAGGATCATCTCCGCGGCCTCTGTCGCAGACAGAAGGATGGCCTGCTTCACCTTGAACGACTCTTGAATCCCCAGCTTTTGCATGTCCCCAACCTGCGGACCACACAATTTAACTAGTATCAGATTCTGTAATAGATAATTTGTTATGAACGGAAAACTCTCGTCTTTGTGAACTTACGGTGCCTGTGATGACATCAACTCCAGCAGTGCAGTTCTCTTTGTGGTGCTCAGCTCGGAGCTGAGAGATCAACTCAGCGCTATCCAAACCAGCATTATCAGCTATGATTGTTGGGATGGCTTGCAGAGCACGCGAGAAAGCATCAATAGCATGAGATTTCTTCCCAGGGGTCTTCCTTGCAAGTTCATCTACTTCTTTGGCCATCACCATCTCAGGCCATCCGCCTCCAAACAAGACACGGGTATCATTTACTGTCTGGGACAGCACACACAAGGCATCATGCAAGGACCTCTCAGCCTCATCAAGTACATGCTCACTGCAGGGATGCAAAAGCAAATCAATTTATGGAAAGTTGAAATGCATAAATGGAACAAAGTAGTCCTACATGATAAGTAGTTAAAAACAAGACATACCTAGCCCCCCTTAGGACAATGGTGCAAGCCTGCCCCATCGCAACCCCAGAGAAATGAATTAGCCTGTCCTCCCCAATCATAATCTCTTCAATGACCTTGCAGTGACCAAGCTTAACAGACTCTGGGTTATCAAAAGTTGATGCGATCTCACCACCAGTAACAAGAGCTAGCCGTTCAATTCCCTCAAAGTCAGCATGCTCAATTGCAAGTATGCCAGCGTCAGCAAAGAGTTCCTCAGGGAAGTTATAGATTAACTGTCTGTTGACGAAACAGTTGATTCCGTGAGCTATGATCTTTTGGACTTTCTGTCTCATTTTCTGCTTCTCAGCAGCTTCGATATCTGCAACCTTAGACATTGAATCCACCCGGACCCGTGCTCCATATATCTTAACTTTATCTGTGTCCATAGCAGTGTTTGCAACCAAAATTTTGGCATTCTCAATGCGCTTTGGCTGCCCAATGCCAATTTTCTTGTCAAGAATGAACCTATATATATAAACAAGCACATAAATATTAGGATCATTTTCTGTTGGGAACCATTACATAGATGCCTGCAAGAACTACTTTGAAACTACTACCTGATTAGAAACTATTAGATTAAAGACTATCAATGATGAGATTAACACAAGTCATGAAACACTTTCCCAAAATATAATTAATGAAAGAACATGCAGTTGATAGAAAAAATGGCACATGTTTGATTAAGGACTAGTTAAGTAGCCAAAATGTCAAATCGATATTCCTACTTTATTTGGCTGGTAAATGAGCAATTGATCATTTAGAAAATGTAGCGTTAATGCTAACTGGTTAGATTATTGATAAAAAACAGAAATTAATTGAATTGGGCTCTTAGGTTGGACTGATTAATTGACAGAAAGAAAGGAGAACATGGTGCTGGGTGAAAGAATTTGCATGCAGCCCAGTGCTGTGTGGTCAAAAGAATCAATTGATAATTTTTCCATAAATACATACCCTTCGTCCAAAAAGGAATCCTTAAGAGATCCTCCAGGTTTCTTCAGAATTTGAATAGATTCCAAGTTGGTGCTACCCTACCACCATTCAGATAGAAACCAGTCAATACTATAACATCATCGAATAACAACATGACTGAGTAGCTATGAAGTATGAACCATACTTTTTCAAGAGTTAAAATTCTACAGATAAAGATATCAGAGTTTAACGTAAATGATAACCAATTTTCATTAAACTATTTGTATACCTTAAGCCTCAAGACAGCATCAACCGCAAGTTCAGCAAAGTACTCCTTGTCTTGGGAAAGTATTTTTGAACTAAGAGTAGTCATAGCAATATTCATGAGATCAGTTCTGAACTTATCTGCAGAAGAAGGAAAAGGATATTGTCATGAGATTGATGAGCATGATGGCATATTCCTGAGAGAATCCATGAGATGCAAGAGGAAGTGAATTTGAATTTATATGAGATTGAATATTACTCCAACATAACAAATTCTCAATGACGTCAAATCCTATGTGCTATGCAAAATACATATATATTGTTAAGGAAAATAATGGCTCAAATAAGCCGATGTCTTATGAATGAACAACAACAACAACAACAACAAAGCCTTTAAGTCCCAAACAAGTTGGGGTAGGCTAGAGTTGAAACCCAGCAGAAGCAATGTCTTATGAATACTGAAAAATTATGCTTTCTAACCATGAGATTGGGAAAATAATTCACCTGTATTTTCTTTGTTGTCCATGGTCTTTTGTAGCAAAGTATCTCTGGCACATTCGAGAGCCATTCTGTACCCTAAAATTTACAAAATGAATTAACCATTGGAGACTTTGAATCCCGTCATAAAGAACAATGGTTGCAGTTTTGCAGCAGTGCTCTAGAATGCATACTAGTAGTGCTCCAGAATGCATACTAGTTAGCTTGGTATAAAACAGGCTACCCAAGACAGATTAGAATCAGAACATCAGTGCACTGCCTATACATTACTGTTACTAAAAAAAATTGGTAGATTAATATGAAAACATGAATTGTAAAAAAGAAGGAAGCCGCATCTCAAATTTTGAATGGCTTAACAGCAGAATCCATCCTTAGACCTTGTATTGCATGCCTGATCTATTTGATTTGTTACTATGGGATTGATGCAAGCAAAACCAAGTACCATGACCTGCTACAATAATTACCAAGCTTTCCAATGTTAAGGATGGAAAAGCATACCATTAACCAGAACGCATTCAGCAAGTAATACCTGCAATAATAGTCATCGGATGAATTTTCATGTTAGTTAACTTCTCGGCCTCCTTCAAAAGTTCTCCAGCCAGAACAACGACAGAAGTTGTCCCATCACCAACTTCATCATCTTGAACTTTCGAGATGTCTAACAATCATTAAGGAGTAACTGGCCTTTCTTTCAGTAGGAAAAAAATTAATTGTACAAAAGAGGGCCCAATGAGGTCACAAGTACAATATGAAGTTTAAGATCAATACCATGAAAGATCAAGAGAAATTATAAAACCTCAACCCCAACTAGGTTGCAAGTTCTACTTATTTGGGTCATTAGGTGGACCCAAAACATGCTAAAATGGCATGCCACGTAATTAATTTAGGTTGGGGGCGGGGGGTTCCTATTACCACCTTACCAACACTATCGTCAAGCAGTAATCAAATTGACAAAGGATACCAACAAGGACCTTTGCAGCAGGATTGTCAATGTGAAGCGACTTCAGAATGGTAGCCCCATCATTTGTAACAGTAACATTACGCCCTCTGCCAGTTGATTGCAGGATCTTGTCCTACATAAGCAAAAAAAAAAAAATGGCACTTGCAAATTTTCAACAAGAAAAACTCTAACGAGTGAAAAACTGGTATCATTCATGTAAAGTGCAGGGTTTCTCTGTAAGACAAAAACAATATGTTTCAAAAGCATACCATTCCTTTTGGTCCCAATGTGGTCTTAATCAAATCCGCTATTGCCATGGCCCCAATAAACGATGCCTACAAGGACATGGCGTTAGCAAATACTGCCTCCATTCAGAAGAATCAGAAGGTACACAGATCAAAGTGTCATTCGTTGTGGACCCTCCCCCAACCCACACACACATTTTATTCATTTTACAAGCTGAAGTGTAAACCATATCAGTGTATTCCTTTGCCGCTCACCTAAATTTCTTTTCAGTAAAAAACATCATCCAATAATTCAAAAAGAAAAGAAAAACCTAAGCCGTTAAAAGTCCCAAATGAGTAGCAGAAGCACGGAACTGTACTCATTTACAGAACACCCGCTGAAACTAACCGCACGAGTAGTGAAGCACTTGCGCCAGCAAAGCACCCCAAGAGAACAGCAACCAAAATACCCTACAAAGACTAGGCGTCAGCGCCACTAAGGTTTCTGGTTTGATAATTCCCACAGATCTTGCCATCACTCAAGCTGGGGAAGCGCCGCAGAACGAAACAACTAAACCTAACCTAACAAAGAAACCGCACGGATTACAGAGACGGCAGTCTTACCATCCTGGCGCGCTCGCCCTTCTCCTGGACGGCGTCATCCTTGAGCACTCTCTCCATCTACACGCAGGGGGTTGGAGCTCACTTGGAACGACCGGTGGTGCTATGTAGATGTGGTCGGGAGAGAAAAACAGCCGATCCCCGAGCCGCGGGCGGTGGCGGCGTTGGGGTTTAGCCGACCTGAGGGTGGATGGAGATGCCGCTGCTTCTGAGCATTCCGTGGGCTGGGCCGGCGGTAGCGGTTTCATGGGCTGAATTGATAGTTTTTTTAGAAAGCTGAATTGATATCTGGGACCCGGCTTCCCTTTTTCGTCGACATTCTACCCGGCCCCACTCCTCACTTCCCCCATCCGGTCACCAAACGGCTGCAGCCGCCGCCGCCGCGCACGCAATAAGCAATGGCGGACGCCGCCGAGCTCGTGCGCCTCCTCTGTCTCCGGGCCCCGCCACGGCCGTCGCTTCCGCAGTTCTCTGTACATACACAGCGGCCACAAAGCCTGCTCAGAGCTCCCCCCCGCCTCCGCCCTCCCATCTGTCTCCGGTGCCGTGCGCTAGACGCCAGTAGGCCGGTTGCGGTGGAGGGGGAGCGGGACGAGGAGGACGGGCTCGAGGACGAGGAGGAGTCCTACTTCTCGGTCACCTCGTCGGGGCTCTCGGAGGTGGACTACCTCGGGGAGAGCACCAGGGGGGATTTGAACGTGCGGAGGGAGCGCCTCGAGGCGCTTGGTGAGCTCTGGATCTCCTTAATTTTGAGTTCATGTTCATGCGGGTAATCGATGTTGATTCGTGGGTGATACTATACTATTGCATGGGCCACTATACGTGGTTATAAGTAGACAGCTTCTCTCCTAATGGCTAATTGGAATATACCGCAACATCATCAAAATTGGATCATGATAACTTTGTAATTTCTCATAGCTGCTTTAACTTTAGGTGGGAACGGCAGGCCAACTTTGCATGGTCCTATTGAGGAGATAGCTTGGAAAGAAGCTGGAGAAGCTGAAACATTGCTTCATGACTTGGGAATTGCAGTAAGGTTCTATCCTTTTAAGCATTATCTTGTCCTTGTTGATGCTCGGTATGCATCTTCTATTTCTATTCATGTTCCCTGTGCAGAACTCATTGATGTTGTCACCAATGCATGTTTAGTTATCAGTAACCTATACAACTGTGTTATGTTGTGGAATTTAGAGAAAAGATTATAACTATCCACTTAAGGAATAAGGGCCTTCCTCTCATACCCTTACCATCATAAAATTGTAGTAGCATTTTTTTTACCTCCACTCTGTTACGCACCTTTTTCCTTTAAATGTCATTACCACTAGAATTCCACGAGCGAGAGATGTTTGACCACTCATGTGTTTAGAATTTAGTCGACTAAGAGCCAGTTGTCATGTGTAAGAATAAGTCACTACTCTTCATGCCTGGTGTGACCTCTACTATTGTAGGCATTTATAGTTTCTGGCAGGTGAGAATCAAAGTGTTGGCTTGTAGTGGATGCAGTCATCATGATCCCTGACAGTAAATTGTGGCAATGGTCTCACAATCTCATGTTCAGTCAAATACACGACCTTTATTTTATCGAAAAACTAATGTGGCAGTTGAAGTTTATGATTTTTGACCATCAAGTAATGGCAAAAAGAGATGGTTATCGAAAACCTGTGAAGCATCAACAGCCCTTTTTTCTTCCTGGCAGAAGCGAATGAGGGTTCTCTTATTGGTGAAAGGAAAATTTTCTCTTGCATTGACCTTTCAGTTTTCAAAGTTGTTAGATGTATCCATTGCTTTGAAATTGTTTTATGGCCTTTTTTGTTGGGAAAGGACTCGACAAAACTATATGTTTTTTTACTATTTTAAGATTTACTGTAAAATGCTTGTAAGAAAAGGGCGCTAATGTAATCACAAATTCACAAGCAAAAAATCAAGGGTGTGTGTTGTAAGGGTTCTGGACCCTCTTTCGTCTTAATACAAAGATACACAGCTCTCCCGCGTTCTCGAGAAAAAAAAAGATTTACTATAAAATGCATCCCAAGATAGCTGTTGTCAAATGGTTTGATAAATTTTTTTGCATGATGGTTCTTGACAAGGCGTTCCCTTTTTTATGATTAAGATACAAGAGACATGCCTTTCTAGCAACAAAAGCTCCAACATTCAGTGGAATATAACTTTAGTGAATACATTGATCACACGTTCCAAGGAAATGAGGAATAGACAAAAGCATATGTTCTTTTGAAAGACAAGCTATAATCAAACTCGTTAATACTATTTTCATTGTAAATCAAAATTAATTTTGCAGTTATATTCTATCCGCTAACATTCTAGCACTTTGTTCTTGAACTTCCATTTTTGGTTGCCCCTTTGCCAATCATATCTTGTTTGAGTATCATCACGATGACAAAACCAGTCAGCCTTCCGAAAACAATACTAACATCAGTTTGCTAAAAATGCAGGCCCCGTTTTCAGTAAGACACTCTCCTCGCGGAATTTTCTGCACCAGGACACTAAATCTTCGATCTATCAGTGTGGTTGGCTACGATATGGATTATACATTAATTCATTACAATGTGATGGTACTTCATGGCCCCATTTTCTTGATTCGCCTATAAACTTTTCTGATACCAGGGGTTGCACTTTTAGAAAACTCTGTAAATATGTTGAGCTGATTTGACCGGTAACTCCAAAGGATAGCGTATGAGTGATCTAAATTTTCAAGTGCCAATTAAAGTTGTTTTTCCTTTAATTTTTGGTTCATAAAGTTCATGTCAGGGGTTAGTTGCTGTGAGTTTTCAATGTGTTGTAATGTAGATGATTTTAGATATAAATATTTCCCCCAATCCCTATATTCACATTAGTACACTGACTTAATTTCTATGTAAATATGCTGTGTCAAATTCAAATATGAAGGGTTATACATTGCGAGAGTATTTTTTCATGATGAATCTACTAACATCAGTCTTATATTGTCAATGTATATGAATTTTAGCTATTGATGGTCAAAGTTAAAATAATAGTTTGACATAGGATAAAACCTAGGGCTTATATTTCGATTGGAGCTAGTATAATTTTGCTCAATGCAAGTATTATGGTAATCACATAACATTTCTGCAGGCCTGGGAAGGACGTGCATATGACTATGGGATGGACAACCTCAAGAGCATGGGTTTCCCAGTAGATGACCTTAAATTTGACCCTGACCTGGTAGTTCCTGCTGTGCACTTCTTTCATAATACCTTGAAGCACATACATCACCTCAAGTAGTGATACAATTGCTGTGTCACAGGTCATAGGAGGTCTTGTTATTGATAAAGAGAAGGGAAACTTGGTTAAAGCTGATCGATTTGGCTATGTTAAGAGGGCCATGCATGGTACCCAGATGCTTTCCACTCGTGCTGTGAGGTATAGGTATCACATTTCGTCAAAGTTTCTGGGCTCCAGAGATGAGAACTCTAATTCATGTCTTTGAATAGTGAAATATATGGAAGAGAATTGGTGGACCTGCGGAAAGAAAGTCGATGGGAGTTCCTTAACACCCTTTTCTCTGTTTCAGAAGCTGTCATGTTCATGCAGGTTTCCTTACCTCTTCCTTTTATATGATATAGTCATTTCAATGTTTATGTGATATGATGTCACTCGACATCTCAACTATTTAAGTCCATGTCCATCTTTCTCATTAGCTTACCCAGGGAGCTAATGGTTTCTCTGTTGATTTGCAAGTGACTGAGTTATATTTTCCAGAAGCTAAGTATTTGTCTAGATTATCTAAAGACTTGGCAAGAGCTGCAGAAATGGTACAAGTTCAGATGAGATACTATGCTAAGCAAGCCAACTGAAATATTTTTGCTAGTAGTTTGGTGTTCTCTGCTCTTTCATCCTTGAATAACCGCGCCTTTGCCTTCTAACTTCTAAGGACTTGGAGTTTGGCCATATTTTACCTCACTGGTTTGGAAATTAATTTAATATATAGATGTATGTGTAGACATGTCTCTTGATGATCTAACAACCAGATTATGATCCTTCCGTTTGTTAGTAGTGGGGTCTGAGTAGCATCAAACAGAAGTTGGTAATACATTGGCTTTTGATTTGTCCTCGGCAGAATAAATCACAATTAGGAGCCCATCAAAGAAACATGATGTGTGCTCAGAAATCTAAATGTATTGATTCCAAATCAATACACGTCAACACAATCAATCCTGTTTTGATTCATTCAGGGAGTAGTTGTAGTGTTTTTCCAATGATTATGTAGACATTCTGAATTTGCATGTGATCTCTCACACTAAACATTTCTCAAGTTTGGACTGAACCTGGATATTACTATTTTCTTCAGATGGTCGACAAGTTAGATCAGGGATTGGTGCCAGCTGAACTTGGGCCATTGGATTACAAAGGACTGTACAATGTAATGAGCACTGCTGTTTCCTTTTCGTCTCTTTGAAGGAATTACATCAGCGTAGAGACCTGCTTTTATTATATTATATTAAAAATAAAGTAAAAGAATTAGTCTATACAGAAACAGAAAGAAAAAAAAAGGTCCGCCCACCAAGCAATGTCTCTTCTGACTTGTGGAACTTTTGTCCTTGTCCACTTTTGCTATGTAATAAACGAAGTTTGGTGTACCTTTTTTCCAGGCTGTTTCCAAAGCACTGTTTCGAGCACATGTAGAAGGCCAACTTAAGGTACTCTTCAGTTAATCATAATATGATTATGATATATGATTATTATTATTTTTTTATGAAAACTTCTTTAGCTGGTTGAAATGTAGAGAGAAATAATGGCTGAGCCTGAGCGGTTTGTAGAGCCTGATCCAGAACTTCCTTTAGCTCTTCTTGATCAAAGAGAGGTTAGCACAGTTCCACCTTATGGTGCCGTATGATCAATTCAAAGTAATAGAACCATTGTACTGATATGCTGGCTTTCCAATCTATCAGGCTGGAAAAAAGTTGCTTCTCATTACTAATTCAGATTACCATTATACAAACAAAATGATGAATCATGCATTCAATCGCTTTCTTCCTAATGATGTGGGATGGAGAGATCTTTTTGAAATGGTAAGTTTATCTCTCTCCCTTATACCAGCTTTGTAGAAGTGACTGTTTAACAGTCATTGCTTACAACATACTGGAAACTTCATTAATATCCATTGATTATTTCTTACTATAGGTTATAGTCTCCGCAAGGAAGCCAGAGTTTTTCCAGCTTTCACATCCATTATATGAGGTTGTAACAGATGATGGACTGATGCGCCCCTGTTTTAAAGTAAAGTCAGGTCAAATTCTTCGCGCCGTTACTGTTGTGAACCAGTAACTCATAGAACCTCCAATAATTCTTTTTCTGTCACTGTGAAGGAACATGTTTCGTTTCAAACTGTGAATATGTATTATGCTGTAGCATTATGTTCATTTTTCTTCAAAACTCAATGAATGGAAACCAAAAATGAAACTTAAAGGAAAAAAATAATTAAGGAGGGGGGCATTCTTTCATGGTGGCTTCCCTATCTAATTAAGATGATTTATAGTTCTGACATCATATTTTTTGGGAACAACTCCATTTTTGGCTCCTCAACTCTTATGTTTGTCTATTTTGAACCCCAAACTACAAAACTAGTAAATTTGGCACCTCAACTTTCAATGCTGTTCAGTTTTTACACCTCGGTCTGATTGTGATGGTTTTCAATTAGCTTGGGCCCACCTGTCATATGCTCCATCTCTCCCTCCCCACCTCCCTCTCTCCCAACGCCACTTCCCATAGCTATGTCCAGAGTGCTTGCTTTTGCGCCGCTGCACTCACCTCTGCTGTGTGCAGACCACCCCGCCGCCTCGTACCTGTGTGCTGCCACGACTGTCCCTTGCTCATCACCAGAGAGATGGAGAGACAGAGGAGACGTGCCATGGCCGAGCTCGATGCAGCCCTTGGCTACGCCAATTCAAGTTTCCACCCATGGCCTGCATGCCCTGGGTGGCCAAGAGAGGGAAAGGGCACCCCCATGCCATGGAGCACCATCGGACGTGGGGACAGCTGTGAGGGCAATCTCGCTGTGCGCTGGATGAGGGAAGGAGGCTGTGATGGAGGACTGGTGGAGAAGATAAAGAGGAGGTGGACGGCTCTGAGAGCATGTCTCCTTTGGTACAGTTGGACGTGGTGCCGTGGACGGTGGAGTGGGAGAGAGGCGGCAATGGCAGATAGACAGAGGAGGGAAGGAGATTGGGACAGTGGTGGTGAGAAAAGGAGGGAGAGAGAGAGAGAAAGATGGAGTGTCTTACATGTGGGCCCATGCTGGGCCCGAGTTACCGGAAAACTACCAAAACTAGGCTGAGGGGCCAAAATTGAACGGTATTGGTAGTTGAGGTGCCAAGATTACCTGGTTTTGCAGGTGGGGTCAAAATTAGACAAACTCAAGAGTTGAGGGGCCAAAAAGTGGACTTGTTCCTTTTTTTAGCGAAAGTTGTAACATCATTGCTTATCAACAGCAGAACCACATGTTGGTCTTTGTTGTGCAGAAGTTGGGTGTTCTGATGTGCAGGCACCATGTTATTTTCCCATTTTGGTGCTTGGATCTTCTCCTTCTTTAGTGCAGATATGATTTTTTTTTTCATTTTTATTCTGAAATGGAGAAGGGAGAGTTTGGATTGGGGAATAAAACAAGAGAGCTACTCCAACTTTTATGCTTGATTGCTTATGTCACTAGACTAGATCCTGCAACCTAGTTTCTTTCTTCGATATGCTCGTCTATTATCCACTGCCAGTTTTGTGACTGACTTGCTACCCCTTTTATGAAAATGGGTATTTAGGTGGCTTATATTCTGGTGGTAGTGCTCAGATGGTTGAGAAATCACTAGACATTCATGGGGATGAGATATTATATGTTGGGGACCATATTTACACAGATGTAAGCCAGTCAAAAGTTCATTTACGATGGAGGACAGCATTAATCTGCAGAGAACTAGAAGATGAGGTTAGTTTGCTTACCTTCTCTCACTAATTAAAAAAATATTGACAATGTGTAGATCATTAGGCATTACAGTAGCATTTTTATTTCCGACTAGCAGATTGAAACTTTCTCTTGAACATTTATTGATTCTGTCTAGTATTTTTCCATCCCACATTGCATTTCCAATTTCTTAAAAGGAATTTTTGGACAAAAAGATCTTTAATTCATTTCATTTTGAGTAACTGTATCAGGACTCTTAGATTTGCCTTGCCTTGTAATTTCATATGGGGTGACTTCTTGGATCAGTTTTAGTTTAGTTGGTGCCTATACGCACTTATTGTCCTTGCTGCTTGGGAGCCGTGGAAGCATCATAACAACTGCATTTTTAACAATGCCACTCCTATGATATGGTGGTTAGGATGGTGATTGAAGAAGGAGCTGTCCGGTGTGCTGCTGGGACTAGGGATCTTAGGAACATGGTCTTGGGGCTAATATAGTCCTCCCTCCCTGGTTCTAACTGTGTGCTGTAGTGATGTGCTGTGGCCATCTTTCTGTTGTCCGTGGTGCGTTTATTTTACATTCCGCCATTGTAGACTTGTGGTGGCCTTTGAGGTTAGGGCATCATCTTTGAGTGTTTTTTCTTTGTACCTTTTTTTCCTATTTAATGAAATGGCACCCGGCTCTTCTGCGCGTCCGAAGAAAAACTACTTGCATAAGCATAAAACTATCTACTGGTGATATGATGGTATAACTACATGAAGCAGCCTGCACCATTTATACCATTTAGTTGCTGTTTGTTCAGTGATTTTTGGGCGTTATCACATCATGCTGCGATAAGATTCCCTTACATTTGTTTATTTCATGAAATCCGTAAATCCATTTCCACAGTATAGGATACCAGTCCTATTCAATCACGATCCCTTTTGACCATAAACAGATAACGCTACAGGTTCCGATTACAAAAGAAAAGAAAAACAAAAACTGACGGTGCTAAGGAAGATGATGACTCAGCCCGTTCCATCTTCCCGCTTCCATCCCTCCTAGGTGCTAGCTTCCTGCTTTCACCGGCGATCGCCGCGGCTGCCATGCGCCACGACCGACGGCGCACGCAGGACAGGAAATGCCGCCATCATGCTCTGCAGACATGCGGCCTCAGCCGGCGGCGCATGTAAGAAGAGGGCCGCTGCTGCTGCGCTTTGCAGCAATCCTTTATGAGGATCGCGAGTCCGCCATCCCAAAATCCTGCCACCCTGCCTCTGCAATGGCAAAGAACAGGAACGACGGAGCACATTGTTGCCATAGACCTGATGAGTTTCAGGAAGGTTCATTCAAATTGTTTTTCTTCCACATGGTAACAGATACATTAGATGGGGAAACCAAACAATCAATGGGATCACCCATTCCGTCACTGATTACAGTGTGATCTGTTACCATTTACATTTACGTTATCACTGCATCAACCAAACTGCACCTTAATTCCAATATGCTGATGACACACTTATACTGACCATTATCAAGTATATGCATCTGTTGATTCTGAATTAATGTGGAAGCAAGAAAGGCCACAATTTGTTATGCTGTCGGTGCTATGTAGCCAATCGAGTTGTAGCCTCTTGTTGACCAATTTCCTCGTCTGTGTTTGCAGTTTGATGCACTGGTCAAAAGCCATGATCAGAAAGAAAAGCTTGTTACACTTATACAACAAAAAGAAAGTGTGGGGGATCTTTTTAACCAGCTTCGCCTGGCTCTGCAGAGGCGCTCTAATTCACGTCCTGCACAGGTACTAGAGTGAAGCCTGATGCTTTAGTGAGCTCCAGCATGTTGAATGTCCTTTTCAGATGTTTGAAACTTTAACATTTGTATTACTTTCAGCAGTGCACTGCTGTCATGTATGAATTTTTATACATCTTAACCAAAAATTAAGATAATCTGGTGATTTTGGCTTAGTTTCTAGGACTCAGGGATTTTGTTAAGTTCTTGAGATGCTTGCACTGATATACATTTTTTTCAGACACTTGCTGCAACTTGTATGGATGACCAGGAGCTTACGGAAAGTATGCAAAAGTTGCTCATTGTTATGCAAAGATTAGATGAAAAGATTGGGCCAATGCTAGAAGCAGATGGAGAACTTTTCAATAAAAGGTACATCAATCACTACGTAAATTCTTATTCTTGTACCGAATTTGGGAAATCCTTCAAATCTGGGTGTTCAGATCTATTATCCCATATATTTCTTACATAAATAACTGCTTTGAAACGTCGTTGCACCTATTTCTGCTTCTGATTTCCAATTCATATGATTTTAACTTCCCTGTAATCAATTTATCGGTCTTGTTCATAAATTTCATGGTATTTATCTCTTTAATTGTTAGAAAAGTAAGCTAAGCAAGTATGCTTTTTCTTTTTCCTCTTAAGATGGGGTTGGTTGTCACGTGCTGGCCTATGGGATAAGAGTCATCTGACCAGGCAAATTGAAAAGTGAGTGGCTATAATTTTTTGACAGTGAGGAAAAATGTCGTATGGACTCCAAACTGAATGCAACTAATTTTGCATTTGCTGTAGATATGCTGATATATACACATCAAGGGTTTCAAATTTTCTACACTATACTCCATTCATGTATTTCCAATCTCAAGAACAGGTAAATACACAGCTCCATACTATCTGCTGTGCTGTTACCTTTGGCATTTTGCTATTGTCATGTTTATTGGTTTAGATTCAAGAATGTCAATTTTCTTTACAATGACTGAAGACTAATTAGAGCAATAGAAGATGCTGCTTGTGGATAGGCAGCTACCTTGGAGCTTGTGAAAAGAATATAAAACATGCTATGCCGGTAGGACGAATATTGTGGCCATATTTTTCCATTAGGGTGGTGACTTTACAGTTATCAATCATCCAAGTAGAGGTAGAAGAAAAGAGTGATGCAAGCATACATAAGAGAGCAAGAAGAGTAAATGATGGAGAATGAGCAAGGAGAACGGTGATGGAGAGTGAGCAAGGAGGGTGTTCTGACTAAGCTACTAAGACATGCTATGCGGGTAGGAGGAATATTGTGGCCATATTTTTCCATTAAGGTGGTGACCTTACAGTTATCAATCATCCAAGTAGAGGTAGAAGAAAAGAGAGTGATGCAAGCATACATAAAAGAGCAAGAAGAGTAAATGATGGAGAGCGAGCAAGGAGAATGGTGGAGAGCGAGCAAGGAGAACGGTGATGCAGAGTGAGCAAGGAGGGTGTTCCGACTAAGCTACTAGCCACTAGTATATACTACATCAATATTAAGTGTAGTAATTTTTTGCGACAATATGAAGTATAGTATTAATGGTTTATTTGTGTTTTGTTTGAAATTGAAATCAACATAAATGAGCATTGATTGCATATTATCATATATATTATTGTAAACTCATGATCGCTATTTTTGTTTTACTATTAACTTGTTGATTCTTGAAAAATGTCTCAGACACTTGCACATGATGCCCATTCCTATTCTGGGGGAAAGGCCATCGAAGATCATTGAGCGTCCGTTCAAGTCACAATGTGGAGATTAGGCAGGGAAGAGAGAACGTGATCATTGTGATTATGGCTGCTATGGCTAGACAGTAACAATTGTCGTTTTGAACAAATTAATCAATACATCTTGTATGATTGTATGCATGTATAAGTAAATCTTTAGTTATAGCATGCTGAATGATTGGTCCGATAATCAGTTTGTTGTCGTGGCCAACCAAAAGAGTTCCATTTGGGGAGGCACAGTGACCTGTTTTGGTGTACATGTTTGCATTGTATATGTAAAGTGTGAAGTGAAGTATGACAAGGTAAAGAACTAAAGATAAGTTATAAATCACCCCATTTGATGCTGCGCAAGACGAGATTTTGTGAGTTTGGTTTGGGCAAAGTTTGATGGGATTTGACCATCCATAGATTCAGGATGAGCTCATCAATACTTCCTGTTTGGCTAGATAGATAAGACAAGCTTTTATTTTTTGTTGGATGGATGAGAAGTGAATAGTTGACTAATTATATTAATTAAAAATAACGATAACTAATTATACACTACTCTTTCTAGCTTTTCTATGTATATAGCTTTAGCTATGCACCTAGATATGATGTATGTCTAGATGCATACGAAAAGCTATGAGCCTAAAAACAGCTAGAATGGCTTAATTCAGAATAGAATAAACACTAATCTTGTCATGATAATCACTAATTAAACATAAAATATGTTAATTAGCACCGGTACTATCCTAATCGGCACACAAAACAATATTAGTCACTATATTAACACATCAAAACCAATCTTGCCATTATAATTACTAAGTAATAATATAACATATTGATAATTATTAATTTATTTACTAATGATAAAGATTAGAAAACATAGATGAGCTCGTCCATTGGAATTGGGAAGCGCTATGTGACCTGAAAATCTTACGAAGGGAATAACAGCAATCTTTACTTATTGAATTGATGTAGCATCTCTCTTTTTTTTTGGTGGGTGAGGAGTTGATTTAGAAACATTTGAAACGCCTATTGACCAAGAACTGATTCGCATATCTAGCCCTCCTTGTTGGCAATTAAATTATTTGCTTCATCCGTTTCAAATTATAAGACGTTTTGACTTTTCAAGTTACGTTGCTTTTATTATGAATCTAGACATAGTGTATATCCAAATATATAACAAAAGCTATAAATCTAAAAAAGTAAAACACCTAATAATTTAAAATAGAGAGAGTACTAAACATGTCTTCGTGATAAGGATCAAATATCAAATGGACCCGTCTCATTTGATGCCTTGATAGTCTGATGGACACATGCAAAATTTTAATTCGGAGCAATTTTCGAGTGAACCACACATTTAGTCCGTAGTTATCATGTTTATCACCTCACAGGTGTTCAAAATAAGTTAGAAACCCAAAAAAGTGCAAGTTAATTTGAATAGTAACATCATCGGTCAGAAATCTCTTTTTTCGTTACCCTCGCATGGTAATGAATTTTGAGAGGACTGCGGAAGAAAAAAAAAACTAAGAAATTGAAATCTAAATTTGAGGCAAGGAAGAAAATAGCAAGAAGACATCTGCACACACTTATGTGTATGCAAACAAGTGTAGTTTACACTCTAATTTTTTTTTTAATATGAAAGATCCATGGCTGCATGCAGTAGATTATTGCATGCTGTGAGCTAAAATGTACTGCATTGGACTGCAAAAAGCTAAAGTTGTGTACTTGTGTATATACAAAATGTCCAAAAAACTTAGTATAAAGTTATTTGTGCTGTTTAGCAATATTACTATGTTGGTTGCCAGTTTTACTCATGAGAGTGAGCTGCCGCTAGGCATTTTTGCTACGAACTATCATATTAGATGGAGGATGGAGATTAAGGGAAAGTTACAACGTGACTTTGCTCTATAAAGTCATTGAATCCGGCTCCTGGTTGGCTGAGGTTGTTTCTCACATATTTTCGAATGCACATCTCGCTTTTTGAATAATCATTATTTTCAAGTTTTTAACTAGATTTATAAAAATAGTATCAATATTTATAAATCTAACTATGTTTATTATAAAAATATATTTTACTATAAGTCTAAAAATATTTATTGTTCATCATAAATACTCGTACTTCTTTGATTTCTTCAAAAGAGACGATATATGTTTTTTTGACTGAGGAAGTAAGCTCACAACTAAAAAGACTAAAGATACTATTTTGGAAACTTCGCCTCACCTTCCTGCCCTCCCCGTGCGACAAAATTTCGCTTCGTCGCTCTGCCCGTCCGTGCGAATTTTTTTTGCCTCCCCCTCACCCACAACGCCGCCTCCCATCCCACGCGACGCCCCCACTCCCTCGATGCCTCCTCTCGCACACACGCGACTCCTCCTCCTCGATGTCTCCCACACGGACGAGGCACCAGCCCACCAGGCGAGGGAGCCGCACACCAGGCAAGGGCGCCGCCCAAGGACGCCAGGCCGCCTACCTCCGGCACAGCAATACAGGCCTCCCCCCGCTAGCCACTAGGGCGCAAGGCCCGCGCGCACTCTCTCTAGGTGCCCAAGTTTTCGTCGGGCCCTTCACCATGTCTTCGCCGGACCCTTCACCGGTGACGAGCATCCAACAGGTACACCCATCCCTTCCCTGCTCTCTGTTCTGTGCGAAGCCGAGGACCCAAACCCTAACTTAAGCTATTTGGTGTACTCAGATCTGATCTAATATCAAGCCTACAAAATTCGATTTTCTACAAAAGTTATCAAGTGTGCATATGTCCATCGTGTCCTTTTACTGGATCCACCCCTACTGTTGGTCTTGGTTTTGTTGATTTGCTATGTAGTGATGGAGGGTTTAGGGATGAACTTGTCGGCACAAAATTTCATCTCGTGCCGAGGTCACACGAGCAAGCCAAAAGGGTCTTCTCGATGGAGCTGTAGATCCGTCTAGCTTTAGCGTAGGGATGGTCAATCCTGCGCACTCCTCCCGAGACGTGCCAGTCAATTTGACCCTGAAATTGACAAGGAGAGAAAGTTTATCAGTAATTTAGGGCGGAACGTGCCGGTGTTGCTAGACAGTCCCGAATGTGCGGCTCTGAGAGCCGATATGAAAGGAGATCGACTAAATAGTCGATTCCAGCATATTCATAAGAATAAATCAGTTAAAGCTCATGGAGTTGTGTAAGAAGAATCGGTTATCGTTCAGGATGAATATCATTACTTAGACAGATATTGATCAATGGCAAAAAGATATCAATAATAATTAATTTATGCTAAGCCAATGACTACAAGTAACCGAACTCCCTTTATGAAAGAAATAGCTCATCATCATTCAACCATCTAATAAAGATAAATCTAATGAATATATTAGATCTCATCTATCGCTATGACTAGTGGGGCATGAGGCAGAATCATACAGGCCATAGAAACAACAATAGACTCGACGACCCTAACTTATTACTAATACCAGTGAGGCATGAGACAGAATCATGCAAGCCGTAATACAATAATAAGATCATGGGGCTAACACGTCTTTCAACCTATCTTTACTTCAACGATCTCGTGACGCGAACTGTTCGGGAAAGCACTCGATATCGGCTAAAATAACTGATTCAGGCATATCGCACAGTTAAGGTCATGCCTTATCAGGAATAGATCTACCGAATAACGATCCCCACTCCATGGTGCTAACAGTGGGTGTGTGAGGCAGAATCACATAGACCGTGATAACGGGCCATGGAATGGTTTTTGCTAGCCAATAAATCTACTCAAGACGCAACACGCCTTAATTGCATGCTATGCATGATCAAGATTGACATAAAACAGCCGATAAAACATAACTCATCGTTTAAGATGTAGATTAGATCAGTTTAGATTAACAAACGATGGGTTAAATAAGATATAAGGCCGATCTAGATCAATCCCAATCGGGCAAAGTGATATTGCTGTAATTAAATAAATAATGGAAGCAATAAGTAATATCAGTAACTTAATGAATTTATCTGAAGAAACACCACCCTTAGATAGAGCCGATAACTTGACCTTAATCTAATTCGAGCAGTGGAGGTCGACCAGATCGATGCAGCCGTACTTGAACTAGACAAGAGTCGATAACTAGCTTATACTGGAGTCGCAGTGGGGGTCGACCGGATTGATGCAGCCATACGAACAGAAGTATAAACCATGACGGTATTTACAGACAAGCAGTGGAGGTTGACCGGATCGATGCAGCCGTACTCGCTGAAGAACTCGCCGAGATCTACTCTA